ATTTTTATTCACGCCAATATATTTTCACAGTTGGATAGATTTAACTAAATTAGTAGTTACAGTATTTGTTCAAACCAGTGCATTTTTGCTGGCATCTGGTAAGTAAATGTTATCCAATTTTTCTTTTTTTTTTAGGAATGAGCTTCAAGCGAACCTACATCATTTAAAACAACAGCAACTCACCTCCACCACATGAAATTTCTCACCCAAACCAAACAAAACCCCAACTCTTCTGTTCCAGCTGTTGAAGTGCGGCAAAGGACTAATGGAAAACGCATAGACATGGAGTTCAGGCAAGCTGTGTCTGACCTTCTGATTTCCATGAAGGCCTGTAACAGTGCACTGGCAGGGAAATGCACTGCCTGTGATGGTATGTGCTGCCTTCTGGAGAGGGACCTTCCACCCATGGGAACTCATGCTGCCCCTATCAGGAAGGAGGGGGTGAATGTAAACTTAGGCCTTGTTACTGCAAGGATGGCTGTCATCCAACCAGGTATTTCTCCAGTGTTAGGTGGCAGCTCCATGGGGCTTTTGTCACGAGATTTTTGTATTGACCCATGTAAATAAGTCTCACTTTCCAAATTACTATTTTAGATATGATCACAAGTGTTTAGTGGTATTGCAACTTGGGATAGAACCTGTCTCTAACATCTGTCACTACCAGCTTGCCTTCTCCATACCTTATTTCCCATGGGGTTTTTTTGTTGTTGTTGGAACTCTGTAATAATATTTTGACTACTTCTTCACTACCTTCTAGATTATACAACCTACTTAAAAATGTGTATTATAGCACACAAGTGTTTCTAGAGCTATGTTTCACAGCTTGTAATACTGGGAGTTTATATCTCCTTAAATTCCTTCTACATCTTCCACTCTTTGGTGAATTCAACAGAACCACAAGTCAATAAGCCTTCCTCAGATATCATTCCAACACCCTGGTCACTGACCACTGGTGCTGTCAAGGAGCATAATTAAAATAATGATTATCCCTTCAGATTTTGTTTGTCTTTCAAGGCAAAGTCTAGGGGTAGACTGACCCAATACAATGCAGATGGCTCCTTCTAGAGGAGGTGGAGTAGAGCTGTTCAGAGAGAAGCCCAAAGTCTTGTTAATCAGGAGAAAAAACAAGTGAAAGCAAATTGACAGAGCATGTGGTAGACAAGGACACGAGGTGGTTGGTGATCTGAGGTGTCTTGTCAGGGCTACACTTGTGAAATCTATGCCATTAGAAAAGCAAGAACAGGAAATAACTGAGGAGACAACTAAGAAAGCTAGCTCCTTTGCTACATGAAGGGTTTGTTAGCTCTTGAGTTAACAGAAGAACAGAAGAAGTTGTGAGGTAGGACAATGTAATATAAGGTCTATGCTTAAAGCATAGGGGAAGCTGAACAATTTGCTGTTTACCAGTTCAGAGAGGAAAAACTTACAGACTCTTTCTGAATCATTCTTGGAGATTAGATTATTTTGCTTTGCTTAGCATTAGGATTATTTGCAAACATCACCTTGACGGGTATCTGGGTTATGCAGAGGAACTTTTTTTCTGGTTCTGATAAAACGTTTACCTACTGCATCTGGTTTTCAGCATTATCCCCTGTTGATATTTTAGGGTTTTACTTTTTGCTCTGAAGTGTATTTCCTGAAGGGTCCATGTTGCCCATTTGATCTGGAAGTAATGAAGCTTCTGGCCATTCTGTGTGTGAGCTTCAGCTCCACAGATCAATTACTCAGTTCTGTCCCATTTATGTTAGTTTTATATGTGAGCTGCTACTGAGTGTCATAAGGCATCATATTACATTTACATAAGATGTCAAATTAACATAGCTGCATTAATCAGAAGAAATATGACATCATGTCTGGGAGTTCTAGTGATATTAATAATCAGGTTTTTAGAGATACAGTTGGTCAAATAAGTCAGGGGCTTCTGGCAGGGATTTTTTTTTCTTTTTGAAAAACAGACGGAAAAGTCACTTCAGCATTTGCAGCATAAAGACCTCTTGATACTCCACTGCAGTTGTTTATTGGCAAGGTTTGAATCCCAGCTTTAATTTCCTAGTTTTAGGAAAGATTTATAGTGTCTGAAGAGGAGTAATGCTAACCCCACCTCTATGAACCAGTCTTCTACCAACCTGTTGCTATCTCATTTCAGAACCACCTGAGCTAGAAGAGAATGGTGGGAACTGGCATTTCTGATTATGCTTCTGACATATGGTGTGATATTACTCTGTTCTGGGAAGAAAACATTAGCTGGTGTTTCTGAAACATCAGCTTTTCCAAACATACCAATGTGGCAAAGACTTGAACCCCTTTGATGTCCAGATAGGTGCTTCATTCCTACATCTGCTGAGGGACCTTTTTTCACAGTTTCTAATTGCTAAGCTGGGAAGACAATTGTATTTCTCCTATAATGCTTCCCAGAACAAGACTACAATCAAAAGTATGTTTTGTCAAAAGTACAGAGCTGTCAGTTATCATAACTAATGAAAAAGACTTCAGGGTGGATTACAGTCCTGCTTTAGTGAAGGGTTTAAATTAGTTATTCTGTCAGAATTACTGTTTTAATTTCCTCCCCCAACCCAAAAAATGCAAGTTTTGAGCATCTGTTGACATTTTTAGTGCTGCTTTAAAAATGATCCATTGTTCCTTTTTGTAAGACTTCTAAAACATTTTGAGAATCATTCCCTGCTCATTACTGATTTACATGCACTGAACCCAAACAACAGTGGCAGAACCTTTGCTATTCTGTATTTTTCCATAGCAGTAAAAACCAGGTCACGCCAGTATCTACTCATCCACCAGAGACAGACTTCCCAGACTTCCCTCTCCCAGGGGACATTCCAGTGCAACCTCTTTGGTAGTGGGCAAGTAACATACTAAGGGCCTGAAGATGTGCGCCATGTTCATTGACTACAAACTCATACAAACGACAGCACTTCAAAACGCAGCTCTGTGATTTGATTCTGTACCATGCGTAGACATCTCTTGGAGACAGGGGGAACTCAGTGTAAATTCCTGATGCAGCCTCAGCTGTTGCTAGGCATAATCATCACTTGCTAACGAACAAAGTGGAAGATATGACTGCAGAATACATAACTTCCCAGATCCCACTCCAGTGCAAGATCTTTAAGGTGAAGCTGACAACTGTTAGCACATCTTTAATGATCTGAGACCATTCACTCTCCAGAGAAATGAGCTTTTAAAGAGCTAACCCCTCCTATAGGTAAGAATATTTAATCTCGTTTATCTCAGTAAAGCTCTTTGGTGTTAAAGAATGGGACATCAATATGGGAATCAAGAGAGATACTGTGCAAAACATACTGCATCCTGTTGGAGAGCAAATCTCAACAGAAAAAGCATGGAACCAGAAGTGGAGAAACACCTGATAATTACAAGCATTTGGGCACAGGGGAATCCTGCTTTCTCTGATATGAGGCAATGTGCTCCATAATTGTTTACAGGCAGACCCAGCAACTTAAAAATAAGGCATTCGGGTTTCACTGAGAGGCTTTGGCAAAAGGTGGATGCTAACCACCACAAAGGCATAATATGCAGAAGTAGCCTGCCATCTTGGATTGCCTACCTTATCTTTTAGATCACAGGCAACCCAGGACTACTAGCTGAATGCTACAGACTCTCACAAAGTAAGCCTTCACGTAAAACAACTTTCTCCAAGCCATTAAGAGGTCAGGCAACACCGTGAAAAGGTCTTTACTGCCATTGTCTGGGTACCTCACTGGTGGTCTTGCTACTGTGAAGGCTAATTCAGCGGATACAGGCGACTCAGCCAAGCCTTTTGCTGCTTTGAGGGAGACGCGAAGAGAAGCAGAGGGAGGAGAAGGGGTTCTGCGCCTCCCGTGCAAGGCAGGGCGCAAAACGGCTGGGTCCTTTCCACAGCCTGTGCCGCCAGCCCCGTTTTTCCCTGTCGGAGCTGTGGAGAAGCTGGCTGGCGGCGGCCCGCAGCCTGTGGCAGCCCGAGCAACCCCACAACCCGAGGCAGCCGCCGGGACACCGGATTCGCGCTGACGCCCCAGATTCACAGTCCCGCCTGCATGCGGGCTCCGGGACCAGCTCCCTCCAGTGCCGCCAGGATGGGGATCACTCGACCACTCTCCTCTCCCTCCCGCCACGCTGTCGGCGGCGGGCCCCGCCTGGCCTGGCCTGGCCTGGCCTGGCTGCGCCGCGCAGGGAGGCGGCTCAGCCGTCCGCCGCCACCGGGGCTCTCCAGCAGCGCTACGGGTATTAACGCTGAGGGACACTGCCGTTCCCTTCTCCCCCGGGCGGGAGCATCTCCCCGCAGCGCCGGCGCGGCAGCGCGGAGGGCCGCTCTCCCTGGGCCTGCTGCCTCCTCCCCGCAGGCACCTGCCGCACCTGCTGCTGCGGGCCAAACCCGTGCCGCCGGCCGCCACTTCAGTACCGAGTCTGGACAGCGCCCCGCCGCCCGGCCACGCCCCCCGCTCGTCACTCACCTCCTATTGGCTGGAGAGCCGCTGCGTCTCCTCGCGATTGGTCCTCGCTGCTGTCACTCAGGATCTGGCCGCGAGCTCGCGGGTGAAGGCGCTACGGAACGCCCGTTTGTTTTGTAACCTGGCGCCTCGAGCCTCCTCCGTCACCGCCCCATTGGCTGTCCGGCCGCGCCCGGGCACCTACTATTGGACAGCCGCCGGTGCCCGTCACACACCCACCTGAGTGGCGGGCCTTGCCAGTGGGGGCGTGGCCGAGGCGGTGTCAGGGGCGTGGCCGCACGCAGGGAGGGCCTGGGTGTGGCGCCGGGGGCGGGGTGAGGGGCGGGCCTCCAGGCAGAAAGGGGCGGGGCTAGGGTAGGGGAGCCTCGCAAGCGGTGATTGCCCTTGTGTCTCTAGCCGGGAAGCGGCGCGGAGCGGAGCAGCTTCCCCGCGCCACCGCAGCCATCCGCACCGCGACGGGACGGGCACACGGGCGCGCCGGCAGCGACGAGGGGAGCCAGCGGGGGGAACCTGAACCTGCCTCGCAGCTCCGGAGCCAGCGGGGAGACCTGCTTTCCCCCCCCTCCTCGTCCTCCTTCTCCCTCCCCAATCCACCCCCGCGACCCTGGTCCTCCTCCTCCTCCTCACCCCACTGGATACAGCGAGGGAGACACTGCGGCGGAGGAGGCGGCGGCGGCGGCGGCGGCTCCTGCGGGGGGAAGGAAGCGCCCGGAGAGCGGAGCGGCGAGAGGCTGCGGATCTGCGTGCCTGGCGCCCACCCAGCCCGAGGGGAGCCCCCAGGATGCGGCTGAAGCCCGGAGCGCTCCTGCGCTTCTACAGCCTCTGCGGGATCCTCGTACAAGGTACCGCCTCCTTCCCACCCCTGCCCCGCGCGGGGAGGGAGGGAGAGAAAGAGGGAGGGAGGAACCCCGGGGGGTATCGCCGCGGCCCGGGGCATCCCAGCCCCCCCGCCCATCCTCCTCCCCGCCGCCCCGCTCCTGACCCGCTTCCTCCCCACCGCCCTCCTCTCCCCGGGCGCCCACAGTCTCCCTCTCGGGTAGCGCTATCCAGCGCGAACGCGCCGCACGGCCGTTAACCCTTCCTGCCCTTCGTTGGCCGGCTTTTTCCTGCCCCCTCCGTCCTCCCCTCCTGCCACCGGTCGCTCGCCATCCCCTGCAGCCACCCTTTCACCTCCCTGCTCCCCCGCCGCAAGCGTGCCCCCGAAAGTGCGAGTGCGGCCGCAGAAGCAGCAGCACCGAGTGCGCTGCAACAGCATCCCAGGGAAACGTGCGGGCTCCAGCCGTGCCTCCCCGGCGGCGGAGGGGGGGTTGGGGGCCCCGTGTTTCGGTTGCGCCGCCGCCGGGAATGCGCCTCTGTATGTGCGGTATGGAGTGTGTTTGTAGGGTAATCGGATGAGCCGGGGGATCGCAAGCGGATCCCTTCAGCATCCTGCTCCGGGCGGCTCATCCTGCGGCTAGTTTCCAGACTGAATGTATTTTCCCCTCCCTCCTCCCCACCGTCGGGCCGCCGCTCTCCCTAATTAACGTTATCCGTACAAGTCAAACGTGGCGGCGGCCGCAGCGGAGGGAAACCTGCCGCACGCTGCTGGGGTGCTGCTGGATCGCCGCGGCTGCCTGCGGGGGTTCCCTCGGAGCTCTCCCGCTTGGGGGGGAGCCGAGCCGACGGCCGAGCCTGCTGCGCCGCGCTGCCGCCCGGAGTTTGCCGCCCCTGCGGCGGCGGGATGGCGGTGGCCAGGCTTCGGGGTGGCTATGGGGGTGTCGGGGGGTCGGCGGGTGGCGCCTCTCTGCTTCCCTCGCTCGGCGTGCGACTTATGGAGGGAGAAGCGAGAAGCGAAGAGATGATTAAACTAAGTGCCCATGTAAGATTAATGCTTTTCTATTTCTCCCCCCTCTCGCCTCGGCCGTGCCATTCCGCGTCAAGTTTAATATATCTCGCGTTTCCCTCGGCTCCGTCATGTGTCGGGCGGTCTCCGGAGGGAGCAGCGGCTGCCAGCCCGTAGCGGGAGCAAAGGCAGCCGCCGTGGGGCCCGACACACACGACGAGCCTCCGGCGTCCCGAAGAAGTTACCGGTCGAGGAGGGGTGAAGGGGGGGGAGCCAGCCCTTTCGGCAACGGCAGCAGCGGGCAGTTCCATCGCCCAAGACTATTTGTATTCTTTGCCGATGTTTGAGTTGCCCTGTACGTCACTGCACAAGGAGCTGCTGTGTTGGTGCTATACAAGATTATTTATTGGGGCATGTGCGGCGGGCTGCACCTGGGGGTTGGCTCCTCTCTGCCTTTTGCATTCCCTGTGAATTGTCGATTCATTGCCCTGCGAAGGAAGAAGGGGGGTGGTGGTGGGAAGCGTCTGGACTGACTTTCTGTCACCAATAAAATCGGGGCTGTTGCTGGAGGAGGAGGATTTGATCTTCCCTAAGATGCAATCAGCTGCATTCAGCACATCGCAGTTGGGAGAGTAAACCAGTGATTAAAAACAGTGATGCCTTTCACAGCAGTTCAGGGAGTGTGCCAGGCAAAATGTAACTCCGTGAACTGCATCAGGTAAAAAACATGTTGTGAGGAAAGGGGTGTAATACAAATCCGACTGTCGGCTATGTGAAAATAACCAGATTGGGCCTGTCCTGGCAGATGGGGAAAGGCGATGCTTAACGTGTTACCCAGCTTGCCCTCTGTGTCTGTAAAGCATCTCTCCCTTTTCGGTTTCCCACAGAATTATTTTTTCAGCTCCTGATTAAAATTTCAATCGGAAACCCTTAGGCTCTTGTATACTGCACTTAAGCAGTGCTGCTTCACGAGGCCCCTTTTGCTGAGTACTGCTGTGGGGGGGAAAAAGGGGGGAGGAGATACAAAGAACCTGTAGCCTTCAGTCAGGAGTGAGAGGAAGTAAGTTCTACCATCCTGTTCTCTTAAGGTAAAGGATATTGGAGAAGATGATGAGTAAATGTTTGCTAGGAGACTTCCCTGAATAGCGACCACAGCTAACAGAATGTCACATTATTTTGGTCCCCCTTATAGTCCTACTGCACAAATGTTGTTTTCGCAGTTTCTGCCATTTATTTTGGCACAACTAGTAGACACAGTTACCATATCAGGCACATTTTTTGTTGGCAGCTTTATACCTGCATTTAGAAGTGGGATTTTTTTTTTTTCCCTGTTGGTTTGCTTTGCTTCCCCAAACAGCGTGGTGAAGTGGCTCGATGGATTTGTTAAGGTTTCTCCGATTTTCTGTTTGTGGGCCATAGGACATGCAGGCTTTTTGTCAGATCTGTGTGCGAATAAGATCTTTGTTCTGAGGATTTGAAGCATTTCTGGATTGTAACTATGCATGGTTCCTGTTAGTGAAACTGAAGCTAATTAAGTTTAAAGCCAAGGTGACAAAAAGTCAAGCTGACATGTGGCCTGGATGGAAGTGTTCCTTTCTGGCATGATCTGTGGAGAGGCTTGCTTAAGGAATCTGTCCTGAGTATTGATGAAGCATCAGCTGAGGCAAGAGGGCATAGAATAATGCTTCTTAGCTTGTGCATGGAATAGCATTAACAGCAAGCAGCCCTTTCGGAAACGAGGCAAGCAAGGAGTAAAAGAACCCAGTGTCAACTGCTTGCTGTGAGAGGGAAGTGATGGAGGTGGAAGAGGGAGTAATAACATGTTGAGCTGAGAAGCGGTTTGTCAGCTGAGTTCGGGTATGATATTAGTCTGCTCTGCCCTCTCCAGCGTTTGCAGTGAAAATAGTAGGATCTCTGGCTGCTGTTGTCTTAGCTTGTGCACTGTAATGATTTAGGAGTACTTAAATGATGTCCCGAGGGTTTAAACTGTTAGATATGTTTACAGTCAGCCTTCCTTTTTTTTGTTTCATTTTGATTCTTTCTGCTTCTTGAGTTTAGCTTTCCTTAAACAAAATTCAGCAGGTGGGGGACAGCATATCTTTCGAGTAACTTAAGTACAGCACCTGAGCTGTTTTTGTGCAACCTGAAAAGTAAGCTCTTTACAATAAAGAGTTATCCTGTGGGAAACCCTAATATTAAAAACAGTTTTGTTGGATTGATAGTATAGAAATATGGGTTAAGATTATCCTGGAATTGTAGCTGCTGTAGCCCCCTGCTGTGTGATAATGCAAATGGCATCTAATGCCTTAATGTGCTCTGCTCCTGAGAAGACAGTGGATAGTGCTGTATGTGGTAGCAAATGATCTACTTTGAGTTCTCTGCCAGTGCCAGGCAGATCTTCTCAACATGGTTTCTTCAGATGCTTTGAATGCTTGCAACCTGTCTACTAATGAAAATAATGTAAGGACACTTTAATTTGTCTGAAATGGTGATCACTGATGCAGAAAATCAATGAAGACAGATAATTGCTTATAGGTGAGACCTTGTTTTTCTTTTCCCCTCATAAGCCCAGATCTATTACAAGCGGAATTAACAAAAAACAACAACAACAAAAAAAAAAACCCACCACACCATAATGAAATATGAAATTAATGAGCAAATAATTCAAGTGGCTACTTTTCAGATCACCTGAGTTGACTTAAGATGAAGCTGTTGTACGCTACTCAACTTGTGTACCTAGATTCTGTTTTGAATATTCAGTAGGACTTCTGGTAGCAAGACCTTGGCAACCTGATGATAAAAGCATAGGGATTGTCCTGACAGCTAAGGTTTATTACACTAATATGGTATACAGAAAGTCAAAACCATGTTGTAGCTCTCTATATTCTTGGAGGGTATAGATGATTATAGATTAGAAGACAGTATTTTTGATGTGATCTTTATTTTGGATCTTGTATGTATAAATTGAAACATAAAATATATCAGTCTGCTTGGTGGTGGCTGTCTTTATATGACTTCTGTCAATTTAACTAAGGCTTGGTAGACTTAATTTGCTGCTTAGATATCAGGTTAGCTCATACTTTATGATTTCTTTTGCTTGCTTTCTTAATGTCATTTTATTGACAGTCATCATACAGCAGTTAATGTTCAGTTTTAGAATGTGAGGTAAATAAAAAATCCAAATTCCCATTGATGATGTCATGCAGCTTTCCCAAGGAATACATGAATAGAGATTGCTCACTCTTACAATCTTTATTATTCTCACACAGAAAATATTAAGTTTCTGTCAGCAATTCATCAATAAATGGCTTTGAAGCTTCTCACTGAAGAAGTAACTCCATGGAAATGTTGATCGACAGAAGCACCTCCATCGAAACAAATGTTTCTTGTGTACTTTCTTGTTAGTTGTTTTGTTTTATTTTAAGCTTGTTTCAGGAATGTAAACCAGTGAATATCTCTCTGCTTTGAAATGCACTTAATTGTCAGTTGCAACTCCATTATAATGTAAAATGTCTGTAAGCCATAGGTTTTTTTATTGTAGAACCCTTAGTTCTCGTAATTACCTTTACCATTACTCTGGCCTGATCCTGCAACTGACCAAGTGTGTTGGATGTGATTCATAGAATCATAGTATAGTCAGGGTTGGAAAGAACTTTAAGATCATCTAGTGCCAGTGATTAAGGGTATTATTTTGATATTGCTATGGAAAAGTCAAGATGTGATCGTGAGTGAGTGGAATTTTTTTCCTTACGCATCACAAATAGTGATCAAGTAACTCATGCTTGACTCTCTTAGCACAATGATTCCCCCTCATCTGATATTTAAAAAGTAGAAACTGAAGATGCTTTCTTTGTCTTAATGCCTTCACCAAGAGAAAGGAGTACTTCAGTTTTGTTTTAAAACATGAATCTAATGGCAAGCTAATTCTGTTAGACGCTCTCAGAACTATGGAGGGTCTTCTCTAGAGAGAATGCCACTGATGTAGGTTTTACAATACATATTCTAAAACAAATATAGAAT